CTCCGTGATGTTCATCTCGCCTTATTCTGGGTCCGAATAAAACATCAGATCATGCACAGACTATCCTGTCTCTTTGAATTTAAATCTATATTTATTCACACCGGCTCTTGAAAACCTCTATGCGAACACACTTGCCCGAAAAAGCGCGGGGGATGAATTTACGTGATATTAAAAGTGGGGGGGACACGTCCCCTGCGTCCCCCACGTAATCTACGCCCCTGCATACACTGGATTTTATATATGGGGGAGGATTGACAGATGTTAGCATAATAAAGAACCAGACAAGTTACTACATCAAAAATATCTGAAAACAAGAGAAGACCATGATATTTACCGTTACAGTGATACAGCAGAGTTCAATTTGATTGATTGATTGATTGATCAATAGGACAAGTGTCATAATTCTTAATAATCTGTGTTTGATTCACTCTTGGTCATTATATGAACATCAGAATAAAACCAGCTGTTGATTGTGTCTCATCAGCTCCTGTGATTCTGGATCCAAACACTGCTCATCCACGTCTCTTCGTGTCTGATGATCTGACCAGTGTGAGATACAGTGAGAACAAACAACCACTTCCTGATAATCCAGAGAGATTTAACGAGAGTTTCTCTGTTCTGGGTTCAGAGGGTTTTAACTCAGGAACACACTGCTGGGATGTGGAGGTTAAGGAAAGTCAGTACTGGAGTGTTGGAGTGACTGCAGCATCGAACCAGAGGAAGGGACATCATTTCTATAAGCCTGATGAGTGGAGTGTGTCATACAAGGTGTTAACACAGCATAGCTTTCCTGTTGAACAGAAGCTTGAGCAAGTGAGAGTATATCTGGACTATGACAGAGGAACAGTGTCATTCTCTGATCCTGTAACTAACACACATCTACACACATTCACAACCACCTTCACTGACACTGTCTTGCCATTCTTCTTTTGTTACAGGTTTTCCCCTCTGAGGATCTTACCGTTCAATAGTCAGTAAACGTTACAGCTGTAGGTCTGGATCTTCCTGCTTTCATCATGTTTCAATATTTAATCCATATCACATGAGTAAGAGTGCTGTTGATCTGAATATCAGTGCAGCTGTGATTGAGCCGCAGCTGATCACATGACTGATATCCAGCACTACAGACACACACACACACACACACACCAACATACTGATGTTATACAACAGATCCATAAAGAAGTTAGTTCATTTAATAACCTTAAAAATAAAAATGATTAATTTATTAAACATACTGTAAAAGTATTGATTAAGTGTTTTTAAGATTTTTTTCATATTATTTGATAATTTGGAGTTAATATCGAGTCACTTTATTTCTGTCACAATATATCCAGATATTTTCAGGAATCCCACACTCATGGAAAAACTGGAAATATCAGATAATTTTAAAACTGTGATATGCAAGTCTGGAAAAGTCATGGAAATCAATAAAAACTTAAAGGTCATGTATTTATTTATATATATTGTATTCATTACACTCTTTTCTATAATATAATACACAAATATGTGACTGTGATTTCAGTCATGAAAAAGTGAAATCCCAGTAAGATATTTTATCCCCGAATGATATATTCCCAAATTAAACTAAACAAAATTATTAAACTGAATGCACACTTAAAATGAATGCTTAATTAAAATCAGTAGCACGACTCCTGTGAGCAGTGGAGTCTTCAGTGCGACTTTACTGACATCTAGAGATGAAAATGTACAGCTGACTCAAAAATGAACACTGATGCATTTGTAGCCATTGAGAGCACCTCTGGATGGTCAGTGTAGGTCCAGTGTTTCTGACGCAGACATACAAAATGAATGAAGCCACACTGGTCTCAGAGCATCTGAAGGTCTTCTGGGAAAAACAGTCTCTTGGATTCACCATGCAGCAGACAGACAATCCTAAGAAATGATGACTGAACGACTTTTCATTACTGATTGACTGTAGTACTGCTCCTAACCTGAATCCAGATCGGCCCACCCTGCTGAAAAAACAAAACAAAACAAAAAATAGAATCCATCACAGAAATTCTAATGGTTTCCACTACAAATACCATTACAAACAATCAACTTTTAAGCATTAAAACCATAAAAAATTGTTCCTTTTAGTGTGCAATTTAGTGGTTTTAACAAGCCACCAATAGAAGGCGACCAATTACCCAACAAACACAGAACGTTCCCATATGGTTCCCATTTGGTAATTTTTTGGGGAACCAAATAAGAACGTTCTAGGAACATTCCCTGTAGGTTTTTTTTTTTTTAATAACCTAAAAAGAACTTTCCCAGAACGTTCCCTGCAGGTTATTTTTAGGCTTTATTTTTATAACCTAGAGAGAACGTTACCGGAATGTTCCCTGAAGGCTATTTTTAAGTGTTAATTTTATAAATCAGGAGATTGACTTGGCCATTGTAGAATATTCCACTTTTTACCTTCAAAAACTCCTGGGTTGCTCTTGCTGTATGTTTTGAGTCATCGTCCATTTGTACTATGAAGCGCCGCCCAATCAACTTTGCTGCATTTGATTAAATCTGGGCAGAGAGTATATCCCTATACACTTCAGAATTCATCCGGCTGCTTCTGTCTTCTGTCACGTCATCACTAAACACCAGTAACCCAGTGCCACTGGAAGCCACGGATGCTCATGCCATCACACTGCTCCACCATGTATCACAGATGATGTTGTGTGCTTTGGGTCATGAGCTGTTCCAAGCCTTCTCCATACTTTTTTCTTCCCGTCATTCTGGCACAGATTGATCTTAATTTCAGCCGTCTAAAGAATGCTTTTCCAGAAGTGGTCTGGCTTTTTTTTTTAGTTTTTTTTTTGGTAAAGTCTAATCTGGCCTTGTTTGCACCTTGTGGTGAACCCTCTGTTTCTTTACCATGGAGAGGATCCTCTGATCATCCACCACTGTTGTTTACCGTGGACATCCAGGCCTTTTTATGTTTCTGAGCTCACCAGTGCATTCTTTTTTTCTCAGAATGTACCAAACAAACTGTTGAGTTGGCCACTCCTAATGTTCCTGCTATCTCTCTGATGGATTTGTTTTGATTTGGAAGCCTAACAATTGTCTGTTTCGCTTGTATGGAGAGCTCCTTTGACTGCATGATGTGGGTTCACAGCAACAGCTTCCAAATTCAGACCGCACACTTAGAATCAACTCCAGACCTTATACCTGCTCAACTGATGGAGAAATAATGAAGGAATAGCCCACGCCTGTCCATGAAATAGCTTTTGAGTCAACTGTCCAATTACTTATGGTCCCTTGAAAAAAAATTATTAAAGAGCTGTAATTCCTTAACCTTTCCTCCAATTTTGATGTGAATACCCTCAAATAAAGCTCAGAGTGTGCACTTTAAGCCCATATTCATTATATAACTGTAACTTGAATATGTTTTGGTCAGCAGCTAAAATAATACAAACTGTGCTTGTGTCCAAATATATATGACCCTAACTTTATATATAGTATATATGGTTATATCTATGAATCTAAATCTCTAAAGCCCGTTCACACCACCAGCAACAAAGCATTCTTTAGACAATTCAGTCACAAATTATATATAGCCTTGTTGTTGTTAGCAATAAGATTAGGATTGAAGTCATTATAATTCGACTAGTTTTCTCATTGTAAGAAGTAACATTCTGCTGTTGGAGAGCTTTTTATATAAACTACAGCAGCATTTTAAGCGCATTAAATCATTAACCAGATGAACAACGCCTACATTCTGTTGCCAACGGTCACTGTACCACAAGTAAACAGTTCTCCATTGAAATGAATAGGATCGTGTCACTTTGTCACTGCATGTTACTGACGGTGTGAACAGGCCAACTCTACAATTCTGTCATTGACTTTACATAGGGACTATTCACACAGAACTGAAGCACCAGAACTGACTCTTTCCATCCATTCGTATTCTAAATCACAATCCAGAGATCAGAGTCAAATCATGCAGCAAAGGGTCAAAGAGCATAAGATACAAACAGGTAAGATAATAAAAATGCAGAAACTCCACCCTCTTACAACACTTACCAGGAAGAGACTGTTTCATTATTTTTGAAAAGAGGTTTAAATAAGGGGATCTCTTGACTACAGTGAAAATGGCTTCATTAAATGTATCTGCAGAAGAACTTTCTTGTCCCGTGTGCTGTGAAATCTTCAAGGATCCTGTTGTTTTATCATGTAGTCACAGTGTCTGTAAAGAGTGTCTTCAACAGTTCTGGAGAATCAAAGAAACTCAGGAGTGTCCTCTCTGCAGGAGAAGATCCTCGAGAGATGATCCTCCTTATAATCTTGCATTAAAAAACCTTTGTGAGTCATTGCGGAGGCAGAGAAATGAGAGTTGTTCATCAGGGTCCGAGGAGATCTGCAGTTTACACAGTGAGAAACTCAAACTCTTCTGTCTGGAGGACAAACAGCCTGTGTGTTTAGTGTGCAGAGATTCACAGAAATACATCAATCACACATTCAGACCCATTAATGAAGTAGTTTCTTCTTACAAGGTAGGACAGTATAATGATTTTGATGGCTTTTGTGTTTGTATGTTTTTTTGTTTAGCGTTGTTTAAATTTGTTTGGATTTTTTTCTGTTTTATATCCAAGTACAACATTTGCAATAAACTTGGAAATAGCAATTATGTGGGAAAAAAATGCACCACTGAATAACAAATATCATGCAAATTACAAGATCCAAAAATGGCTTTCCTTATCACTATTAGCTGAATTTTTTTTATAGCTTCATAACATGACGTGTCTGGACAAAGGTTCATTAACAAACTTCAACATTTATTTCACACATAAAAACACCAAAATATACAAAAACAATATTAAAAACAAAATAAATAATCAATCTTGTGTAATGCATTACCTCTGAATTGCAATTATGCTCTTGTTTTCCTTTGCTTTTTTCACAAGCTTGTCCTTAATACATGAACACAATTTCAAAATCATTAAAACCTGGTTTAATGGCTAATGGAGAAAAAAAAAAGGTTAGACATTTTTGTCTACATAAAAATAATAATAAAACGTTCATATGAATATTAATTCAAAATACAAATCAATACTTTTAATAACCTATAGCTTTAAAATGCAAACATACTAAATTAAAACATATGTTGAATTGCCTGAAAATCACTTGTTCAAATCTCCCAGTAACCAATGCTTTAGAGATTTTCACTTTGTCAAATTGTAGGAGGAGCTCAATACAGCACTGAAGACCTTACAAGAGAAACTGACACATGGAGAGAAAATGAAAAGAGAGTGTGTGAAAACAGTTCAACACATCAAGGTGAGGAAACAGAATCAAGAGTCAAATACTCAGCAATCTCAACACAGTTTATCATAATAGATATTGGACACAGGCTTATGACCACAATAAAAGGATGGGAATCAAGAACCAAGAAAAGCTAAATCATAAATTACTTCATGGTTTGTAAAGACATCCGTAGTGTGGTGATTGAGATGACTGAAGTGAATGTGGTTTGATTTCAGTCTCAAGCTGAGCACACAAAGCGTCAGATTAAACAGCAGTTTGAGAAGCTTCATCAGTTTCTCAGAGATGAAGAAGAAGCTACAATTACTGCACTGAGGGTGGAAGAGGAGCAGAAGAAGAAGATGATGAAGGAGAAGCTGGAGGAGATCAACAGACACATCTCAGCTCTTTCACACACAATTAAAGACACAGAGAAGATGATGAAAGACAATGATGTCTGCTTTTTGAAGGTCTGATTTCAGATCATGGATTGATTGATTGATTGATTGATTGAGTTGTTGATGATAAATTGTGTGTTTGTTCTGCAGAAGTTTCCAGTCTCGATGGAAAGGTGAGTGATCTGCTGGTGCCTCTGGTCTCTCTGCTTCTGATCTAAAGCCACTACAGTTCTGACTCCTGAATGTTCTTCCAGAGTCCAGATCTCATCACAGCCGGATCCACAGATGCCTTCTGGAGCTTTGATTCATGTGCCACGTTACTTGGGCAACCT